AAAGGCAAGCACTCTACCACTGAGCCACCTTCCCAGCCCATATCTCTATGCTTTTAAGCCTTCTCTTGGAAAGTGAATATTTTTATAACTTTCAATTTCATGTATTAGCTTTTTAGTTACCTTGATTTTGTTTAAATAGTTGTTCCAATGTTAAAGTACCCTTACTCTTAGTGTACCTAGGTTTATTATTGTACAACTTAACATGAAATATTGAAACCTTACAACTACAGGTGTACTTATGTGTCCTGTACTTGATAGAGCTTGTAGAATCCCAAAACCTTCTGGTAAAACACTGCAGTTTTTACTTTTGAGTGTATATGTATATTTTAAATGAAAGGAAATAATCATATTTTATATTTAGCTATATATTTTGACTTTCCTATGGTCTTTCCTTACTGAAAATGCAAATTTGTGTCTCTATTATTTCATTCTAGCCTGAACAAATTTGTGTAATGTAATTTATGTCTATTGTTGATGACTGCTTTTTTTTCCCTCTGGTCCTGGAGCTTGAACTCTGGGCCTTGGCACTGTCTCTAAGCTTTTATACTCAAGGCTAGTGGTCTATAACTTTAGCTACAACTCTACTTCTTGTCTTTTTGTGGTTCATTGGAGATGAGAGTCTCATAGACTTTCCTTTACTGCCCAGGCATGATCTTCAAATCTCAGCCTCCTGAGTAGCTAGGATTATAGACATGACTCACTGGCCTCCAGCATGATTGCTTTTTTTTCTTTTAACTTCTATCTAAAGAAAGATAATACTTTATTTTTTAAATTTTATTTGTTGTTGTTTACTATGAGGCTCAAACCAGGGCCTCACATTTGCCAGACAGTCACCACTCTACCATTTTCTTTCTTTCTTTCTTTCTTTTTTTTTTGTCAGATCTAGGGCATGAACTCAGGGCCTGAACCCTTCCCTGAACTCTTTTTGCTCAAGGCTAGCACCCTACCACTTCTGGTTTTCTGGTAGTTATTTGGCAATAAGAATTGCACAGTCTTTTTCTGCCTGAGATGACTTTGAAATGGGACCCTCAGCTTCAGCCAGCTGAGCAGCTATGATTCCAGGTGTGAGCCACTTGGCACTTGGCCCCAGCTTCTGGCCCATTTTTGAGGGATGATTTTGCTGAATACAGATTTGGGCTGGTTTTATTTTTCTTCATCATGTTAAGATTTTCTTCCAACTCTCTCTCCTCAATTTAAGATAAGCAAGCAACAATTAATTTAATCAATCCTTTATTTGTAATATATTGTTTTTGCCAATTTAGTTATTTATTTTATTTTTTTTGCTCAAGGATAGCACACTACCACTTCAGTCATAGTGCCACTTCCAGCTTTTTGTTTATGTGGTACTGAGGAATCAACCCAGGGTTTCATGCATGCTAGGCAAACACTACCACTAAGCCACATTCCCAGCCCCAAATTTATTTTTTATTATAAGTGTACATTAAATATACAAGGGGGATTTCGTTGTAACATTTCCCTGCATGTGTACATTGTATTCCAACTGTTGCCCCCTCTCCCTTCTACTTCCCTACTTCCTCAGACCATCTCAAGAGGTTCATTGTTCCATTTTTATACTTGCTTCTCTGTTACTTTCAAGATTTCTCTTCTTTAATTTTATCAGTTTGGTCATGACATTCCTATGCATGGTCTTCTTCATATCTATCTTCTTTAGATTGTCTTGCAGTAAATTTGTAAGGTTTTGGCCACAAGGTAAATTGTGTTCTGCACCATCCTTTATTTTCATTACCTCTGGGAGTAAATACATAGGCTAGACTGAGTCCTTGAATCCCTGAGGCTCTTTCCTTTCTTATAACCAGTCCTTTTTCTTCAGTAAACATCTGAAACTGAGTCTTCAGATTCAATCATGGGACTTTTTAAAATATATTTTTATTTTCTTCAGGTACAAAAGAGTTGCCATTCAACAGAACAGTTTATGAATGTGGTGCCTTTTGATCTATGTCACGCCTTTTAATATTCCCACCCTCCTCTCCCACTCCATCCCTTCTCTCTTTTTGTAATTTTTAGATTGTGTATTGAATTTTTTTTCCTGTAACAAAACTTAGGTATTCAATGCATCACCTACCTTCTACCCACCCCTTCCTGTATTTTTCTCAGTTCTGTGGCATATACAGTGCATATACCATGCATTCTTGCCTGCATTCTATTCGTTTCTCCTGTTTCTTATTCTACTCCTCTCCTCTTGATCCTGTCCCCCTTTGCAAGTACCCATTTCCTAGTACTCCTTTTGTTAGGCTTTGACTTAATCTTTCTAAAAAACCACACTATTTGCATGCTTCATAGACTCTATTATACTTCAGTTAATTAATTTATAACTGCTTGGGTGCTACCCAGAATATACTTCTAGATTTAAAAGCACATCTAGTTCCCACTAATGAGAGAAACCATGCAACCTGTGCTTTTCTGGATCTAGCTTATTTCACTTAACATAATCCTTTCCAAGTCTTTCCATTTCCTTATGAATGGTACAGTATCAATCTTTGTGATGGATGAATAGGATTTTGTTATGTGTAGATACCACACTTTCTTGATCTATTCACCTATTGAGGGGCATCTGGGCTGATTCTGTATCTTGGCTATGATAAATAGTGCTGTAGTGACCATGGTTTGGGAGGTGCCTTTAGTGTATTCTTGTTTGTGCTCTATTGGATAAATGCCCAGGAGTGGAATTGCTGGGTCATAGGGTAGTTCTGTTTTAATTTTTTGAGGAACCTCCATACAGCTTTCCAGAGTGGTTGAACAAGTTTACATTCCCACCAACAGTGTAATAGAGTTCTCTTTTGGCCACATCCACACCAGAACCTGCTATTGTTAGTTTTCTTGATAATGGTAGTTTTTTTGTTGTTGTTGATGGTGCGTGCCGCCGTGTAGCCCAAGCTCCTCCAACTTGCCATCTTCCCTCCTCAGATTTGCGTTCTGGGACCCCACATGAGCACCACCACTTTATTGGTATATATTAATTTACAACAGTGTTTGAGTGTGTAATAAACTGATCGTAGTTACCCTCTTTATTCTTTCTTATCACCACTTTTTTTTTTTGTGTTCAAGGCTTACGCTCTCTTTTGAGCCACAGTGCCATTTCCAGCCTTTTCTGAGTAGTTTATTGGAGATAAGAGTCTCATGGGCTTTCCTGTCTGAGCTTTCTTCAAATCACAATTTTCAGAATCTCAGTCTCCTGAGTAGCTAGGATTACAGGTGTGCACTATTGGTACCCAGCATTTTTTCTTGCAATTTTAGCTTCTATTTTCATACATGCATGTAGCATATTCATATTCATCTCCCTGTTACCCTCTTGATCTCTTCCTGATTCCTTAATAAACAATTATGCATTTACATTCACGTATATATGTTAAAAACATGCATAATATATTTATGGTCTATATATGTGTATATATATATGTATTAGATATATTTGGTCTAGAATCCACACATGACAGAAAACAAGCAATATTTGTCTTTCTGAGTTTGGCTTAGTTTTCTTAAAATGATAACAATTCTGCTTTTTTTTTTAACAAATGAAATAGTTTTGTTATTTATAGCAGAATAATAGTCTATTTTCTGTATAAATCCCATTTTCTTTATCCAGTAATGGCCACCAGGACTGACTCTGTAATTTGGTTATTGTGAATTACTCTGGTGCATTCAGCCAGAGATTTGAATTTCATTTTTATAGACATTTTTTGGGTCTTCCTTTGCCCTCTGTTAGAGGAATATCCTGTACTGACCTGTTGCTAAGGTTACACTTGGTCTGTGCTTTGGGCTTCAAAAATCTGAAGGTTTTCAGTTAGAGGTATAGCTGTTCAGTATGATACAGACCTGGACTTACTCTCAGAGTGGAGCTGGTAAAATTGACAACTTTCTTGTTATACTTTCCTTCTTCTAGGTGTTGACCCTCTACAAAATCTCCCTGCTTTTGGTCACTTCCCAGTGCCTTCCTGACTTGTTTGGAATAGATGTCTGTAAGCATGTCAGCCTAGTATAGGGTTTTCTTGTTAGAGCTGTAACCAGAATGTGAAATCATAACTTCTCAGCATATAATGTATCCTACCCAATATTAGGATACAGTGAATGGTTGTATTGGAGTAATTATAAATTTTAAAATAGATTGAATAAGAAAGCAGAAATTATAGGGCTAGAGAAAGCTCTGTCTTTACCAATTGCAATACATGGTTCTGATTGGTTATATCATGTGAGGAGACTTGAATAACTAAGACTTAATTTGAACCTTTAAGACTTCTACTTGAAGCCAGGTCAAGTGGCGCATACCTGTAATCTAGCTTCTCAGGAGGCTGAGATCTGAGGATCACTGTTACAAAGCCAGCCAAGCAGGAAAGTCTGGGAGACTTTTATCTCCAATTAACCACCAGAAAACCAGAAGTGGAGCTGTGGCTTAAAGTGGTATAGTGCTATCCTTGAACAAAAGAACTCAGAGACAGCATTCAGGCCCTTAGTTCAAGCCCCATATCTGACAAAAAAAGAAAGAAAGAAAGAAAGAAAGGAAGGAAGGAAGGAAGGAAGGAAGGAAGGAAGGAAGGAAAGAAAGAAAAAAAGACTTGTACTTGTTGCTAAACGTGTCTAGAGTTTTAGTTACTAGGAAGACTGAGGCAGGTGGACCTCTTCAGCCCAGAAATTCAAGACCAACCCGAGCAATGCAATGAGACTATCTCTTAAAAACAAACAAAACCAAATAAACCCTTCCACTTGTAGATGCTTTTGGTTGAACTTGAATTTCTTGCACAGTTGTCAGCATGTATCTTCACATATATCACACACACACATATACACACATACATATCTCATATCTCATATATATCATGTATACTGAGAGTACTCAGTCATGAAGAATCATGTTCAGGTACTTGTTTTGCACACCTGATTTCTGAATCTATAACTAAAACTGACTATTTCTTTCAAATAAGTAAAATGCATATTTACTTTTTAAAACATAACTAACTCCATTTAATAAAATCTGCTTACTGTAGGTCCAGGTCAAGACCTCGTCCGCGTTCCCACAGTCGAAGCAGTGAACGGTCCAGCCATAGAAGGACTCGAAGTCGATCCCGGGACAGAGACCGTCGTAAAGGCAGAGACAAAGAGAAGAGAGAAAAGGAGAAGGAAAAAGCCAAGGACAAGGAATTGCACAACATCAAACGTGGGTAAGCTGAAGCAGCTGCAATGCAGTGATGACTGTGTAGTCCATAGCAATATTTGAAGTGTGTTTTGTTTCTTTGAGCATTTTCCTTTCCCAGCCTTGTGGCTGAATTGCCTTAACAGCAAAAGTATCAACATTTACCACATATATAATATATATGTCTATATATGTGTGTGTGTGTGTTATATACAAATGTAAATATATGTAAATGTTATGTATACATGTAAGTGTTGATATGTAAATATTTTTATGTCTGTGTGTGGAGCTGTGGTTTGAACTCTGGTCCAGGGCCGTGTGCTTGCTAGGTACACTACAACTAAGCCATGCACCATCTTTTTAGTTTTTAAAAGATCAGCATATGCATTTACCACAGTAATTTTTTTTTTTTTTTGCCAGTCCTGGGGCTTGAACTCAGGGACTGGGTACTGTCCTTGAGCTTTTTTGCTCAAGACTAGAGTTCTACCACTTGAGCCACAGCACCATTTCTGGCTTTTTCTGTTTATGTGGTACTGAGGAATTGAACCCAGGGCTTCATGCATGGAGGCAAGCACTCTACCACTAAGCCATATTCCCAGCCCTACCACAGTAATTTTTTATATATTTATAATATCTTCCTTTGTTCTAGGAATAATTTTATTCCTTTATTTCATTCACAGAATGTCTTAGAATGTTTTGTTTTTTGAAGTTTATTTTTCTTGTTATGTAATAATATTTTTTGGCATTTGTTAAAAGTTTAAGGAAGTTTTACTGTGATAATTCAATGAAGAGAGAAACATTTCCTATTCATATAGCATAATTTTTTATTTTAAGTAGCATACATTATTTGTGCAAGGGGAGTTCATTGTGACATTTCACACATGTAAAAACATACTCTAATCAATCTTACCTCCAAGACTCTCCCTTACTCCTGTCTCCTCCTCTTAAAACAATTTCAAAAGCTTTCATTGTTTCATTTTCCTACATATAAACAAACTACATAGACCATATTCACCCTTATTCACCATAATAACAGAGTTTTGAAATTAAAATCAGACACTTCTTTTTTTTGCTAACCTATTACTGAAAGTCAATTATCAGAAATAAAATTTGTCATGAAGTCTCATAATTGCAGCATGGTATAATGATGAATCTTCTATGGATTATTATGTTTTTAAGAATGTCTTTAAGAATGTCTTTAGCCACAGTCAACTACTATGGAACATTTTTTACGGACTTGAAAAATTAGTTGAGAATGAATATGCAAGTAGCCATCAGTGACATTTTACAATTTATTCTGAGAGTAGAATTTGGATGGATTTGATTTAAATCTGTTTTCACTCATGATTTAGATCACCAGTCAGGAAATTTGGATTTATAGCAGTTACTGACTACCGCTTTAGTTTGTAGGTGTCCCCATCCAAATTCATGTGCTACTTCAAGGCAGTGGTGTTGGAGGTGGTACCTTTGAAAAGGAGATTAGGCCATGAGTGAGTTCTTGTCATGGTGGGAGTAAAATTGTTATTTATTGTACAACGGATTTCTTTTAGAAAAGGATGTGTTTGTCTTCCCCCACCAAATCCTTCTTTTTCCATGTGATAACAAAGAAAGCCCTGGTAGATGCTGGTGCTCAGTCTTTGCCTGCGAGCCTCCAGAACTGTGTTGAGAAAGTTCTATTCATTATAAATTACCAGGACTGTGGTTTTCTGTTAAAACAACACAAATTAGCTGAACGTGTACCGGAATTCTTTCTCCTTAATTTGAATGATGTTAGTATTCCTTAGGAGTGTAGGGAGCAGCGTTCCTGAGCATGGCTTCTACTCTGGCCTGCCACTCAGAAATGCTTTCACTCTCGTTATTTCTTAGAGGCCTCCGGTAATTGAATCTGCTCTAAGAACTAGACCCAACATTTCTGGAATTCTTTTCTCTCAGATTTGAATTTAAGTTTATACATTTCTCCTCTTCTTTATATATATATATATATTTTGTTATTTCTCTCACATTTGGAAGTAAGTTTATCCATTCCTCCTCCTATTTTCTTTAAATATAATTTTATTGTTATTATTAAAGTGTACAGAAGATTGACATTTCATAAGTCAAGTAATGAGTGCATTTCTTTTTTGGACAATGTCACCTTTCCTTTGCTTTCCCCAGTTTCTCCCTTCCGTCATTGCCCACCAGTTGCACAGTGTGTTTTCCACTTAGTGTATATGGAATACCATGACTACATTTGTACACCCTTTCTCTTTCTTTCTGTGTCCCCTTCACCACTCCTAAAAAGACCAAAAAGAGACCAAAAGTGAAAATAACAACAATCAAACCCATGTTTCCCATTTCCTGGAATTTGTTTCAATAAATAATATTTTAAATGTTAAGAGGAGTTATGCGTTTGGATTCCTCCTCTAATTGTAACCTCCTTTAGTCTGATGGTGTGTGAATGCCTATAGTCCTGTATAATTTATTATATCCACTTGTATTTTGGATCTGGCTTCCACATATGAGAGAAAACATGTGCCCTTGGTCTCTCTGAGCTTGGCTTACTTCACTTAATATGTTTTTTCTAGGTCCATCCATTTCTCTGCAATTGACATTGTATTTTTCTAAAGGAAGAATGAAATTCCATTATGTATAAGTACAATATATATATATATTTTTTGGGGGGGGGTCCAGTCGTGGGGCCTGAACTCTGGGCCTGGGCGCTGTCCCTCAGCTCTTCAGCTCAAGGCTAGTGCTCTACCACTTGAGCCACAGTGCCACTTCCGGCTTTTTGCTTATATGGTGCTGAGGAATCGAACCCAGGGCCTCAGGCATGCAAGGCAAGCGCTCTTACCACTGAGTCACCTTCCCAGCCCCAAGTACTATATTTTTTTGATCCACTTATCTATTGAATGGCATCTGGGCTGTTTCCACAACTTGGCTATTGTGAATAGTGCAGCCGTGAACATGGCTGTGCAAGTGTCTTTACGGTATTCTGCCTGGTAATGTTCTGGGTAGATGTTGAAGAGTGGTATGGTTGAATTATAGCATTCCTCACTTTCTTTACGTAAGTTTCTAAACCTTTATACTTTCAAAAAGAGTCAAGAATTGCCCTATGTGTATGCGATGTTCTACAAAATAGGCATAGTAACACTTAAAAACCCATATATTTGGGCTAGGAATGTGGTTTAGTGGTAGAGTGCTTGCCTAACATGCATGAGGCCCTGGGTTGGATTCCTTGGTGCCACATACACAAAAGAAATAAATAAGTAAATAAATAAGTTTAATTTAAAAAAAACCATAAATTTTAGAGCAGTATGTATAAGACAAGGACTATGGACCATGTAGGATTCATACCTCATAGGTACATATTAGTTGTGGTTTTAACTTTGGTGATATTTCAGTTTCATCAAGTGTAGTTTCATGTACTAAGTTACTGTAGGTAGATAAGTTGATTTTCCCTATCTCTTTCTTTACTTAGTAGCAGGAGATGTTGGAATTGATTTAGGAAAGCTGGACTCTGAGATTTGACAGCAGTTACATACTTATAAAGGCTGTCATATTTTTCCTTACCTCTTACTTCTTCATGCAGCAGGAAGTCGTTTATGCTAATTTTTCCTTATTTGCATATAGGTTACGAGCTCTGTGGTGCAGAGCATGCTTAGAACTCCTTTTAAGTGTCTGTTTGGATCAAAGCAGAACTGTGTGATAGCTGTTGTCTGACACCAAGCTGTGTGGTGTTGTTTTCATTAAACATTTATCACACTTCCAATGTGACAGCAGGCAACTTTGTGCCAGGAGAACATGTTTTCATGCAAAATTTATTGAAAAAGATGAGACTTTGTAAAGAGATCTTGTTGCCTTTCACTAGTGGCGGAGGGTAAATGTTTGGTTCGAAAGCAGTGTACCTTGAACATGTGTCACCGTGGAATGCAAGGGAAGCTCTATATTGTCAGTTTTGTTAAGCAGGTAAACAAACACCTCTTTCCTACTTTTAAAATGAAAGATTTTACAAGTTTCCTGTGAGTTGATTATTATAACTGTGGCCTATTATAATTTTGGATATTTTATATCAGAATGAAATTTACTACTAGTTTCTAGTGTGTTGCTTTAAGTACTAGTCACTAGGTATTAATCTGATTCAACAGAAACTACCTGCAATTTTTTTCAAAAAGATGAGGTCAGCGGAGGAGGAACTTAATGTAGCACAAAAGAATAGTAGCCAAAGAAGCCAAACTGGATTTTCATATATTTCTTATTCACTGTAACCATGCATTTTAGTTATCAGAGTCTTCCTAATTGAACTTGATTTGAATTAGGCTTGATTATGTTTGCAGGAAGTTTCAGAATTAGGGATGTGCTAAGAAGGTAGAGGACGGATGTTCCAGCACAATTCATCAGGTGCACTGTAGAAAATGTTGCAGCCATGTGGGGAGGAGAGTAATCAGTTGTAGCGTGCTGGAAGGAGCCTTGTTTGAGACCCTGTAGAGCTAAACTTCAAATTCTGATTCATTGTGTATGGTGATATTTAAGGGTATTTTGTTCAAAAAACAAAACCATGACTCATACAAATATACATGATTATATGCCAAAGATAATACGTAACAGAATCAGACACATGCTATAAATAGGTTAAAGACTGAAAAGGCAGACATACTAGGAAACCACTAGGAATCTGGACATGCTCCTGTTAGGAGTTGAAATCTTTTTCTTTTTGGGAGAGGGAAATCCGTTAGACCACCATTAGACAAAGTTCATTTGCATACTCATGGAAAATAATTCTTTGACTACTGTCAGTTATGAAGCTTTAAAATATTTCAGAGGAGGAAAGGTAACTAGATGATGCATCTCAAATTGTTTCAATTTTTTCCTGATAAGGCAAGTTTTTTCTTTTCTCCTCCCTCTTTCTCCCTTTCCTTCTCCTCAGCTGTTTCTCCACTCCTTACCCTCCCTTCCTTCAGTCTTATTTTTTAGATTGGGTCTTACTATGTAGCTTCACTGACCTTGAACTCACCATCCTACTGCCTCAGCCTCTTAAGTGCTCAGATTATA